TATTAATCTTTATAATTCTTGCCACTCCGTTGGGTAGACAGTGATATCTCTTTGTTGCTTTCTGTTATGGTTGTTACAGTAGTTGTTTGGTCACCTTTTTATTTTGAAATAAGTTGAGGCTAAGAGAAAAGTTGTGAAAAGACAGGGTTCTCATAGCCCCTTCACCCAGCTTCTCCTAATGTTAGCATCTTGCATAACCATATATGGTGATCAAAACAAAGACATTAGCATTGGTACAATGTTATTAACTAAACTGCAGACTTTATTCAGATGTCACCAATTTTCCCACTTGTGTTCCGGTTGTTTTAAATTTTGTTTCCCTAATTACTAGAAAGATCAAATATCTTTTCACATGATTCTTTGGCCATCTGTGTTTCTTCTGTAAGATGCTGGTTCAAATTCTTTGCCCATTTTCCCCTCTTGCATTGTTTGTCTTTTTCTAATGATTTGCAGAGGTTCTTTAAGAACTCTTTCAAGTTCACACACCTGATTAGTGAAGAGAAATCCCAGGTCTAACCTAATTGCTTATTTCCACAACAAATGCCCTATCCTCAGTTCTCCTGTCTCTTAGTTGCTTCCTTTTATTCCTGGTCTGTGTTCTGCGGTCCCTAGCTAGGGGACCACGTTCTTCTCAGCATCCCTCAGAGAAGCACAGTGGGGCCAGGGCTGCATGTTCCTCATTTAACTCATCATTGCTGAGCTAACAACATCAGAGGTCGTCTGGGATGAGCCTTTTCTGGACACCAGCTTGTTTTCTGCAAAGTCTCATCTCCATTGGCCCTGAGGCTGGTGGCAGAGAATGCCGGCTGCTGAGGCCCAAGCATGTGCCATTTGGCTGATCATCCCATCCTTAACTGCTGTTCTGGCATTCGTAAAACCTCCTGCACTGGCGAAACGGAAACTGTAGAAGGCAGGGCATAGGCATCTTGGGAGCCCTGAGAGCATTGCAATTCCCAGAACGCCAACCAGGACACTCCAACCCCTCCCCGCCTCCCCACCCCGCCCACGGCCACCTCTCCCACTCCTCCACGCCGCCACGCTCCTGGAAATTGTACAGGAGATGGCAGGCAGACGTGGGCACTGCCGCGGGCGAGATATGCAAAGGCGGCATCTCTCTTGGCTGCTCTG